GACCAGTGAGGGTTTGTGTCACCACCTGCCCTGCAACCTTAGGTGCCTAACAATGCCTTGCTGATGTAGCTCCCAATTTGAGCCCCTCACAAACAGCATGCAGGTCACACCATACATGTCTGTATATAGCTCGTGTCCTGGTCCAGCCACTCTGACACTAGCAGCCTTTCAGCTGCACACCAGCCACACACTGGTTTCCAGCAGCCTTGTTTACTACTTTCAGAGTGACCGCAACACACTTCCAGTCCTGGATTGTTCCCCAAAATGTGTGTTTTGCACTGCCCAGCCCTCTCCTGGGCAGTTCAGATATTAGACATCCATTATACCTGTAAGAGGTCAATGTACAACAGTTTGCTACTTTAACTGGAGTTACCAAACAATCCAGTTTAAACACAACACTGATTAGTTTGGACTACAGAATAAAAAGTTTATTATACTACAAAGAGAGAGGTTTTAAGTGAGTACAAGTACAAGGCACTAAAATCAGAAATGGTTACAAGAGAAATACAGATAAAATGTTTCCTAGTAGTAAGACTCAACTTAAACTAGACTTGGTTCAAGATAAAATTCTTACATGTTCCCAGCAACATAGCTGACCAAGTTCTTCAGTCAGAATCTGCCTTGAAAGTCTAAAGGGCTGGTTCCTTTATCTTTTTAGGTGAGAGTGAGTGAGAAAGAATCCCTGGGGTGTTTTTACCCCTCACTTTTATAGTCCAGTCCCATTTGAAGTGGATTCATCTAAGGATTACCCCCTCAAAGCAAAGTTTATTCAAACAGTAAAGAAGGTGATGTGTAGTCTGATCATGAAGGTGCTCTCCTGCTCTTTCTCCTCCCTTGTATATGTTGAAGTGCAGATTTGCCTTGTCTCTCTCTTGCTGTCTCAAGGACCTTGTTTACTACTGGTCTATAAATTGAGGTAAACGCACATTCCTTTAAGACAGCCCCCACTAGGCAGGAGTGGTTAAGCAGCTCTATGTGGGTTCTGAACATGTGCTATCAACATCATATAGGGGAAAATTATAACTTCACATATAGTCTTGTTGCATACATTTCACCATATTATTGACCAGCAAGATATTTTTCAAATGATATCTCACAAGGCATATTTTGTACAAAGATTATTACAGTGGTATATAGGGTGTGAATACAAGGGTGCATTGGGTCACACTCACCTTCTAGTAATTTCATCTAGACCACATTTCCCTAGTTCACGTATGAGAATGTCATGTGGGACTATGTCCAAAGCCTTACTAAAAATCAAAATATCTCACATCTACTGCTTCTCCTCTACTAACCAGGCCAATAAGCCTGCAAAGAAGAAAATTAGGTTGGTTTGGCATGATTTATTCTTGATAAATCCATGTGACTAATGCATATAATCCTATTATCCTTTAGGTGCTTACAAATTGATTAATAATTTGTTCCAGTATCTTTCCAGCTATCAAAGTTAGGCTGACTGGTCTATAATTCCCCTTTTTAAAGAGCGGTACTATGTCTGCCCTTCTCCAGTCTTCTGGGATCTCCTCTGTCCTCAATGGGAGCACACTTCTTTGTAAGTATACATGAAAGTTGGAAAAAAAAATTCTTAACAACAGAAAACACATTTACAAAGTATTACTAATAGGTCATGGTGTATTTTTAAAAGTTTAAAAACTCACCCAGGCTTGAAACACATCCAAGACACCTACTAACCAGAGACTGATATGCCAAGTGAGAGAAGGACACTACCAATGAGGTTGAGAAACAACATCCTGGTAAGAAACCCATAGTTCCTGGGAAGGGGGAGGAATTTTGCCTATCAAAGTACTGCCTCTTGACCCTCCTTGGTGTTCCTTCCCATCATTTTCTGGCTAGTAGGTGTGTCATTAATTTGAAAGTCTTCCTTCCATCTTATATCTAGAATTCTCCTCTTCCTCATAGTCAATTTTTGGGTCTTCCTTTACCTGCCTCTAGAGTGGCTCATAGTTTTCCTAAGTATCAGAGTGAAAGTGACATGATTCTTGATAGTTTTACCACTGACCCTCACCAAAACATACCAGAGTCTTATCAATTTTTCTCTGCTCCTACTTCAGAAGCTATAAGCTGCAACAGCAGCAGCAAAAAAAACTGTACACATGTAGAATCAAGTAGACAGGAATAACAAGGAATCTGGTGGCACCTTAAAGACTAACAGATTTATTTGGGCATAAGCTTTCGTGAGTAAAAACCTCACTTCTTCGGATGCATCCGAAGAAGTGCATAAGCTTTCGTGAGTAAAAACCTCACTTCTTCGGATGCATCCCAAGAAGTGAGGGTTTT